CTGCACTGCAAATAAACAAAATAAAAGTAAATCAAAATTTGCATTCAACTTGTTTGTGCCCCATACTTTTACATCAATGCAAATGAAATTGAATTGTAAATAGACAGTCTAAATCTCATGCACTTGCATTACTGCAAAACATACTGCATTTCAACCTATTTTATAGCATGTAATTAGGAAAGCAGCATACCCAAGACAAATAACTCCCAACCAAATTTAATGTTTAGGCAATCATCATGGTACAACCACATTTGATAAAAACGAAAATGTTTATGACCATAAATAGGAGAGGGGGCAAATATAAAATGATGCTATATATAATGATCAAAGCCCTAATAAAGGCTAATATCCAAGAGGGCAAAGGGAAACAAAGAAAGCCAACCCAAAGAAGCATGAACTCTATCCATAAAACTAGCCATGATACCTACACCCTAGATGAATCTTGGCCAAGTCAAAATACTCCTTTAGGGTGAATACCATGGAGTTCAAAGTCCTTCTAAAAGGAAACAAAAGCTTTTGAAGCCTTACCCCTACTAGAAGACAAACCAAGAAAGAAAATTAGGCCTTCCTCAAACAAGAGATCACTCTCATTCAAGTTACCCATGACTACAAATGGAATAAACAAGCTCAAACAATAATTGCAAACATTCATCGAAAATTGATTCTACTTTGGTCTATTAGACTCCCCATGCAAGAAAATCAACTCCTAGAAGGGGGATCATAATTTATTTCTAAAACTATAGTGTTACAATTACTAAAAAGTAACATTCCAAAACCATATTTCCAACAAACTAAAAGACCACTAAAGAGATTAATTAGGGGAATAATCATAAAATGGGGGTAGTATCAGGGGGAATAATCACAAAATGGGGGTAGTTTAATGACATGTTCAGATGAAAAAGGCCTTGTCTTCAAGAATTTTAGTATCACATGAAGATATAAAATATGGGTTCCAGTGTGAAACTAAATTCCTAAGTCCTTTGAGGCCGTCACTCAGGCACACTCGGCCATATTAGTTCCAACTAATAATCCTCATTGGGTGTTGCGTGGCTATTTAAGGCTAGCCACCATTGCCCAAATGAAAAAAAAAAGAATGATATAACATATATCTCACTTGATTGTGCTCCATGGCAACCTCTTTCCCCTTGATAGCTCCAATACCATCCCTCACCACAACTAAAAACACACAAACACCCTAAACAAAAGCAACAAAAGTTAAAATAAAAAGAAAACACAAAGAGACCAAAACTAAATAAGCTGCAAAAAGGCCCCCTATAACTAAGTGCCTTAACTTTATGCTATTATCATTTAGGAAGGAAACACTAAAAAAGATACCCGAGTCTAGACTATGCTTATAGATTTGAACACCTAAATCCAATCACTTACATTTGCTAGAACTGAAAAGCCATTTATCATCATTTCTCGAGGGACCCTGACGAAGGAGTTTAAAGCAACCACCAAATTGGCCTCCAACAACTCAAGCCACAAACCCAACTTTATTGAGGTATTCTTTATCTACTCCAGGTTACTATCAAAGAACTTCACTTTCCTACCAGAGGTCTCATCATTATGGCATCCTAAAGATGTTGACTAATATTACCACTATCATCAGACCTACCAAAGAACTCACTAGAAGAAATGAGATTGGAATCTGTTCTCCGATTCCTAGAGATTAAACCCACTACCTCACTATTAGGTCCCGACCCCATCCATTGCATTTCCTCCTCCCTTCATACAAACTGAGTAATAAGAGGCTTCGTCCAATCTTATTGGTAGGCAACCTCTGCACTAAGCCATGGACCAAGAAAATTCATAGTCCAACAAGGTTAGTTGCAATTTTGGAACAGGTGCCCAACCTTACCACAGATATAACACCTAAACGGAAGTTTCTCATGCCTAAAAACTGCCTAGACAATAGGAGCTAAGAAAGTGCCACATTTTAAAGGAACCTCAATTGAAATACGAACCTTTGCTTTATAGATGATAAATGAGACAAATCTTTGTTGCTGTAAGCATTCCGACATCATTATCGAAAAGACCAAATGATAAATCATGAACTTGAACCCAAACATTGGCTTCTCTAAGTAAATACAAAGATGGGGTTGACCCATCATCCATTCATGGAATTAGAGCTACCACTTAAAAACATATGATGGGCCATCCACAATGACATGATCATAATCAAATCCTTTTCATGAAATCAAACATACCCTAAAATTATTTAGATTCTTTCACACAACAAAACGTTTGGAGTCCATGTTTTGTTATCCTTCCTCCAATAATTGGAATGTTTGATGTTTTGACTAAGGGCAAATTTATTAAACTACCCTTATGACTACTTCTATTACCGGCACTTGAGGTTGTCTAACTCAATCTTCAGCATCCATACTACACCCACTCGAAAAAATCCCCATATTGTCGATCACTTGCCATTAAAGCTTGTAAATAAGGCTGGAACTTGGGTCAGGTTAGCCCGAACCCAACCCCGAAAAGTCAGGTTGGGTTGATGCCTAGGTTAGGGTTAGGGTTGAAATTTATGAACCTGGATTTACTTCGGGTTGGGTTAGGGTTGATCCCTTGGGCAACCTGAACCCGACTATATAGTACATATCATATATAAATATATGTTATATATATGATCATACATTGCTTTGTTTATATGCATAATAGTTGTATAACCACTACCACATACTATCATTTATTTCATTTAAGATATTCGCTTTACTTAATCCTAGTTGAAAATATTAAAACCTTGATAACATATTTTATGTTTTTTGAATATTTTATTCTTTATCTCCTCTCTCTTGTTTGCCACCCATAGTTTGCTGCTTATAAAAGATCTATTATAAGTCATCATAATAAACTATAGTCATTTCAAACTTTTTTTTTGAATTTTGTATTAAAAGGACCAATAAAAACATTAATAAACAAATATTAATTATATGATAAAACATATAATTAATATATGTAATGAAAGTTGAGTTAAGATCTAAGATTAAGAAGTTCTACAAGATTTTAAGGGATGGGAAGAAGGTTGGGTTGGGCCCAACCCGAGCCTAGCCCGAAGTTGACTTTGGGTTGGGTTAGGGTTGAAGGAATCTAGTTAGGGTTGGATAGGTAAGGTTGGGGGTTTAGAACCTAGGGTTGGGTTAGGTTTGGCCTCAACTCGGCTTGACTTGCAGCCATACTCGTAAAGCTTAAGAAAAATCCCAACACAAAGAGAGAGAGAGAGAGTTAAAGAGATTCATTTCAAGGGTGGTCATTGATTCAATTAGAAAACCATCCCCTTCGACGCCATAATATCTATGTCTATTAATGAATTCAAGCTCAAGACATGAACCCCTAATTTCCTCTAAGGTTTTCATGGCATTGAAACGTATATTGAAGAAACTCAAGGATTTGTAGAAAGGTTATGCTTTCCATATGCTCTTTGCTAACCCCTAATTTCCTATGAGGTTCTCATGGCCCTATTGATACACAAATCTGATCAAAAGCTGAGGAAGTTCTTGCTAGAATTAGAGTCATGGAAACGAATGTCGTATGGGTGTTTGTCTTTATCCCTCCATCGCTTTCCCAACCCCTATTTGTCTTTATCCCTCAATCGAATCGTTGTTTGTTGCCAGCTGCTTTGGTTACACAATAGATAACTCACATCCATCTATGTCATTTCAAAGGTGGAGCCCACTAACCAGCAATAAGATTATGCTCAATGATGCAAGGAAGCTATGCATTTGAAGATTATGTATTGATAATAGGCGATGGGAATGCTGTAGGCCAATATAGATGTCCCCGCAAAGTGAGGCTTCTCTATGGGATTGCCGTTGGAATCAATTGTTGGATTGTATTGCCAAATGCCATCCGGTAGGGAATTACGCCTTAGAAGGCTACAATTGCTATGAGCGATACCACCACCATCAATGTATTTTTCTTTATACGCAGCCATTTTGTTCGACTGTGGCCATGGAAGGCTACGTCCTAGAAGGCTACAGTTGCTATGAGTGACACCACCACTATCAGTTAACTTTTCTTCTTGGTCGTTGAAAACAATTTTTTTTGGGTGAAGATTTAGTCTCTAAGTTTAGTGCTAACCCTTCAAATCATTTAGACCTAGTGCTATAGTTGCCCCAATGAGTTAGAAAAGCCATTGGAAATGGGAATGTGTTAAGACTGAGCGGTTGCACGGACTTGAAAATTTTTATGAGATGGGTTTAGTAGTGTCAACGGTATTCGAAAATCTGAATTCGAATTCAATATTCAACATAATCAAATCGAATTCAGATAATTCGAATATATAATCAGTCGAATTTGGATATCCTATTCTTACTGAATACTTAATTGGATTCGAATTATATGTTCTGATTTGATTTGATAAATATCCGAATTTGATCGATTATTTAATTCTTATATATAATATATAATATATAAAATATTTTATATAATTTATATATAATAATTAAGTTATATAAATAATTTATATACTTTATATCAATAAAATATTTATTAATTATTTAAAATAATTAATTAATCAAATTCGAATTGAATCAAATATTTAAATATTTAATCGAATTCGAATTCAGATATTAATTTTCAATATCTGTCGGATATCGAATCAAATTTGGATATTGCTTGGTTCAATTCGAATTCCATCTGTTTACACTCCTAAATGGATTTTATTTTGAAAATTTAAGAAAAAGTGGAAAACAAAAATGATATTTTATTTTATTTTTATTACTATTTAACTACGATGTCAATTGTCAAAAAACTTAAAATTAGTTCAACCATAAAGATAGCTTAAGAAATTTACCCGCTCATACCCAATTCATACAGTCTGCCAGGCCCAAATCCGATCCGTCGAACCTGGGCTGAAAAGATGGCCTCAACCTCAAGCCTGGGATGGGCAGCGATGTGTCCATAATGTGTTCAACAGTGCAAGTACGATGTATGGATGCATATATATACTTTCGCTGAAACATGTTAAATTGAACCGTGCCAACCCCAAACCGAAGTCCGAACTCGATTTTGGGCCGTGAAGCACGGGTTGGATCTGGCCTCGCTCCACTTCTGGTTCTGGTTTCATAAATGTTGTAGTCTTGTAGTTGTAGACACACCGGGGAGTTTTAGGAATTTGGTTCATTTTTCCCGGCAAACAATCCAACTAAATCCGTCAAACAGTTCATCGCCACTGGCCCGGCGCCGTGTGATTGGACCGTTAGTTCCCGCCTCGCCATGGTCACTAAGCTGTTTTTTACATCACATTTAATTCCACTCTCCATTTCCTCTGCAAATCGTTTCTTTAGAAATCCTTCACTTTCAAAACCCCGTCTTTTCCCTCTCTTTTGCACCATTTCTTCAACCCTAGACTTGCCCCCAGAGCGAGAACCCCCATATGGACCCTCTCTTTACAAGGGCAGAAAAGCATGTCATCAACAGCCAGCAGGAAAGCAACAACGACAACACGGCACATCTCAATCTCCTGGAGAAAACTTCCAGGAAGACGATGCTGGAAGTGGAGAAGAAGAAAGTATAGTCGACAGGGAGAGCTTCTCTCGAGTTTTCGACATTGCTGCCCTTAGGGTCCCTGCAGAAGAATGTTTTTCGCTTGAGAACCGATTAAGAGGCCACCTCTTGAACTGGCCTCGCGTCCGGAACATCGCAAGGGTTCCTGGCGATGAAATGGAGGATGAATTCAAAAAGATTCTGCAAGAAAAAACTGAGGATGTTGAAGAAAGCTTCGCTGCATTGACCCGGCGTATCTATGGGAAAGCCGAAGGGGATGGCGAGCCTTTGAGCCCGGTTTTGTACCGGGACAGGCTTTCAAGGACGTTCAACTCCAGTGGCTTTATAAAATTTAGGAACCTTGCTAAGATTTCTAGACCAAGGAAGAAGAAAAAGATGGTGAGAGAAGAGGGAGAGGGCTTGGAGAGAGATAAGAGAATTAGGAAGAATGATTTTGTTGTGGTTGAAGTTGTCGAAGACAGAGATGAAGGTGAAGATATGAGTGGGTTGCTCGGAGATGATTTTAAAAGAGGCAGTTGGAGAGGTTCCACAAGGTTACTGCTGCTTGACGAGCGTTATGCCAATAAAGACGTGGAAGAGCTTCCCGTGGCCGTCAAGGTGGCTGTTCGAACACTGTGATGCTCTGTGAGTTATTTTCGTTTTTTTCTCGTTAGTATTTCCCCCAAAACTAACATATTGATCTGTATAACAAAGCTCCCTGGAGAGTTTAGGACAGTGATCTTTTTTATTTTTTTGGACCAGCAATTTAGGATAGTGATTTATTTCCAATGCTGTTCCTTTTTAGCTGCCTGAAAATCAGAATGATAATGCCGACATGGTTGACCAGTGGAAGGAGCATATCTTTAGTTTTTTACGACTGTCCATATTTAGCTTTTCAATGGGAGAGGTAGGTTATTGAAAGTCCATCCGTTTTCTTGGCTATGCACCGCAAGCGCCATGTATGCATGTATGTGTGTGTCTTTTTACCATTAATCCTTTTTTGAGTTCTGGTTGGTGATTATGTAAGACCCTAAATTCATATATTCCACAAACTGGAGATATTCCATAATTGAAGTTGGCCTTTTAGGTCATGTCACGTATTTTAAGGAAGCTGTCATAGTTCATGAGGCCAACAAATTCATTTTCTCAGTCGTCATATATGGGAATGATATGCTTTGGCCTTTGGGTAATAGGGGGATAAAATGATATTTCTCTACAGGGAAAATCTATGATGTGGGAAAGACATGATATGGACTATGGAAAGAGTTTTGACCAATCAAAACCCACTCATGAATTCTGATAAATAACACCTGATTTGCTACCACGTTTATGATTCCAACTGATTGGTCAGATGTTTTTTGGATATCATATCTTTTCCATGTCATAGTCGAACCCAATATGATATTGCTGGGTGCTTCTAAATGTGGCTTTGTTTTATTGGTAGTTCCTTTGATGCTTGCAATATGGAATGCTGCCTCCTATGGATGCTGTGATTGACAGTTTAAACTCACATATATCTGTTTTATTATTTTTCTGTCTATATGTTCTTTTCATTATCCAAATTAATAAAGTAAAAAAATGATAAACAGAATAAATAAATTTTCAACTACGAAGTCTTTATATATTTTACAAGGATTAATTCTTTGCATTATAAGATATTCAGTTCTTGTGCCCGCTCCACCTAGTGTTCCAATTTGTTCATAGATATGGCTTGATCTACATCTTCCTTGAACAGTTTACATTATTATTTGAACCATATATTCTTGTTGTTCTTTCTTGATATGCTGTTATAAGATATCTGCCTGAAGATTTTACTTAAAACTTTTTCCCTTTACTGCTTTTTTCTCTATTAGGGTAAGGGGCAGGTTATGCTATTATTCTGTAATCATTATTGCTATTTCTATTGTGACATCAATTTGATCATGCTTTTCTTTTTTATCTTCAAATACATTGTCTACTTTTCAGATTGATTCTAACATTGTATGTAAAATTTAAATTGTTTCTTCAGGATGTGTTAAAAGTAGATAGTAGGCAAAGTGCATCAGCATGTGAGCTTGTGCAATGCAAGATGACCTTGTTTTATAATTATTGGCAAACGAATGAGGTATCTGACATTTCTGGTCCAGATCTGGTTATGTTTATTTTCAACTATTTTTATTCTCCATTTTTTTTTATCTTGATGACTTTTTGTTCATAGTATCTATTATTGTATTTTCTAATATTGATAAGTATTATTCTGGACCACTGTAGCAGATTATTTATATTTTATGAAGAAGGATGAACTTTCAAAGGAAACTTCTTATTGAAAGTTTGAAGCTCTCCCTACAAACTTGTTTTTCTGTTGAAGTTTTTCTATGTAGTGTACTGAGCTTTTACTTTAGTGTTGTGTATGGTGGCCATGACTGGGGGTGTTGCATGAGGGATGAATTTTCTAAATATTTCTTATAGCATTAAAGTAAATTTGCTCAAAAGTGGGGGTGATGGGTGAGGGACAGGTTTCCTTTAGGTGTCAAAGTGTCTGGGTAACATTCACGATTCATCAATAATTGACATCGGTGTTTAAATTCATGATGTTACTAACAGAAATTTGATGGAAGAGAATAAGATAATTCTTGTAGTTGGCTAAATTAATGTAGTTGTTTTGAAATGATATAATGTGAGTACAAGATAGTGATGAAATTAACTGATAAAAAACTATGTTGAGATTTTTTCAGAGAAGGTAAAGCATGAATTAAGAGAAGTGCAAATTCCTTTGCGGATGCACTCGCAAAACAAGGGGTGGGAAGGGGCAGCCTTTTTTGTGCCATGTTGTAATTTTCTTTTTGTTCTCAGGGAGGGTTAAGAGATTTTACCCCTCCCATTGCTTCATTGTAACTGTTTCTTAATTTTTTAATACAAGTTATGTTATCAATAAAAAATGGTAAAGTATGAATTGTATTAATTATCCAAAAATAAAAAACAAGACTCTTGTACAATAGGTTGCTGTACACTGGGGATATACAAAAACTGTTCACTATACATTTAAGCAATCAGACCCTGACTATTTACAAAAAAGATTTGTAAAGTCAAAATAAGTGTGTGCTCTTTCCTCTAAACATCATGTGACTTCCCAACCACGATATCATCTTCCCCATGATTCTGTTTGCTACTTCTGTAGTACTTATTTTATTTCAAAAAATCCTGGTGTTTCTTTCTTTCCATAGACACCAAAAAACTGCAGCAGGTACCACTCCCCATGCTACCTTTCCTTGCTTACTCAGCCCTTTCAAGTGCAACTCTTTTAAGAATCTGCAAGTAAGGCAGGGAAGCAGCTCTTAATTGCAAAGCTATGATGAGATTAGAGCTGAGCAAAAAAAGCCCCTTTGACACACTTTCCATATATCATGCACCAAGAAGTGTCTATTCTCATATACAAAGTAGCAACAACTTAGCCACACTTGGAAGAATATGAAGAGTTTATCCTGTTGCCTCCATGAAAATGGAGTGAGAGATTGGCTCCTTAACACTGCTTCCTTGGTGGAGGAAAGATGAGTGAGTGGTAGAGTGAGATGGATAAGGTTTTTTGTTCAAGTTATTTGCAAGAAAGAAAATAGGCCGGAGGAAAGATGAGTGGTAGAGCGAGATGATAGAACCAGAGTTTTTAATGACAAGGAGAGGGATCAGGCTTGTGTGTTGGAAAGTATTTTAAGTAGGGCCATAAGCTGGGTAAAGTCTTTGGACCTGTTCTCAGTTCTCACCCTTCTCATTATAAGGAGGAATTGGGAGCAAGTAGCCAAAAGTTCTGATGTTAGAAACAAACCTTTGGTGGAATGGAAGCCTCCTGATGCAGGTGTTGTTAAATTAATTTTTTGATGGAAGCAGCTTGGGTATCTCGGGACCATCTGGAATTGGAGGAGTCTAGAAATGCTGAGGGCCAGATAGTAGCTCTATTTTCTGGTCCTATTGGGATGAGAGGTTCAGTTAATGAAGAAGTCCAAGCTGTACTACAAGGAGCAGAAATTACAAAAGAGTTGGCAGTGGATCATTTAATGATTGAAGGTGACTCCAAATTGGTTATTGGATGGCTAAAAGAGCTGGAGATGGCAGCCTGGTCCTCTAGGGGGCTTTAGGAAGATTTAAGTGGCTAACATCAAATATCTCGGTCACAGTTCATTGGGAAAGAAGATCGTCAAATGGGCTGGCAGATTTTCTAGCCAAACAAGGGGTACATAGGAATCGGCTCTTTTGGGCTCATTTGTAAGCTTTATGATATAGTTTAGAGGCTGCATGTCGGGCCTCTTTGCAGGGAGTTGTATGATATGTACTGTGCTCTTTTAATTCTAATTAATAAAATTACCTTTATCTATAAAACTGTTGTTTGCAAGAAAGAAAATAATCAGGGAAATATGCTAAATTGATAGAAATACCAGTAAGTTCAAAATGTTGCTAGCTTTGGGAAACATAGAATTGAAACTGTTTTAAGTTCTATATCACCTAATTATTGCCTAGGTGCTTTATATACAGTACAACAGTACTAATGATTTAGATGCCTACTGCGTAGGCAATTTAGATACAGTACTGAAACTTTTGTTCTTTTCACACTTAAGCCACTACCCTTTGATGAATAATATAAAAGATATTATTCTTTTTTCATCAGTTAAGATTTATTACTCTCAGTCCCATAATTATAGAGACATACATAAAGGTTTGACCTTGAGTCAAACCTGGATTCGATGGTACACTATGTACTACAACCAAAACCATATGCTAATATAATACACAATATCTAAGATTTAAGTCCTTAAGTCCCCCCCCCTCCAATCATCACCAACAAGATCAAATCAAAGAGCTTTATTAATGTGATAGAGACACCAACATTCCAATCCCAACAATTTGGGGCAAGCTTCATGAATATTGTCAAGAACCATGTCTTCTTCAAACTTTTAGTCCATAAATAATTTGTTACCACTTCAGCCCACATTTTGTTTGGTCTTCCTCTTACTCTTTTCCACTTGCACCAAGACTCTCCTCACTGGTGCAGTCATTGATTGCTTATACACATCTTTTTCTTTTGAAAGATGAAAAAAGATTTCATTAACTAAAAACGAAAAGGAGGGAAAGAGAGGATCCCTCACAAAATTACAACTAGAATAGAACATACCAGAAGGATTTCAGATTACAAATCAATCATCCCAAATAACCCTATGCCATTGAGAACTACAAACAGAAAAACTCAAACCTGAAAATTCCATATATAGAGCAGCTAATTTAAAGAGACATGTCTCTATCTGTCCAATTACAGCCTCAACTGGAGGCTCTCCAAATCATGAAAGATTCTCTGATTTCTCTCCAGCCAAAGCTGCCAGCAGACAACTATAGGCACGAGATTCTACAAGATCGAACCCCTCCTACTGAAAAGCCTTTGATATTCAAGCTGCAACTAGCATGCTCAGATCCATGGGAACAGCCATTTGCACCCCAAACAGATGAATTAATGCAGGCAAACACCATAGGAGAACTTGCAATGGATTAGCAAGTGGTTAACCGGTTCTTCCCCCCCCCCCCCCCCCACACACACACAGTTTGCAAAAATTAATCAAGATCATTTCCTTTGATTGCTAGTGATTCATTGTTTGTGTTCCATCCAATATCACAGACCATAATAAGAGCAGGGATTTCACACATCATGAAACCATCTAAATTGACTTTCCCTCATCTTGTCGGAGTTTGACTTAGTCCCAAATCCTCTCTAATGTCTAATGACCTTATTTATAATTCTCTCTTTTTCTAGTCTTACCGCTTAGCCATCTCAACATCCTCATCTCAGCTACAGTGCTATACTCATTTTTTAAACATGCTTATTTTGAACATAAAGTAAACATCTCTCTACATATTACAAAAAGACTTACAATATAGCCCCTGTGCCTGGTGCCTTCCTGAACTAGTAGATTTATCACCTGACAAATTAAGGACCAAGAGAGGCTCGTGTCATGAACCAAAGGGGGACAAATCCAAGGGATCTGAAAGACAAAGCAGAAGAATTCCCACAGAAAATGGAGCACTTCATGCAAAAAAAGAAAGAAATAATCCCTAATTAGATGGTCAATAATGAATAAATATTGAGAAAAAAACAGCTACATGAAACTTTTGATATGATGGGGAACTTACTTTTTTTTTTGATCGATAACTGTTAAATTCATTCATTTTAGAAGAAAAGGTACAAAAGAAAGTCGGTGAGAGACAAACCCTCTTATCTCTCCCCTTTAAATTTTAATTAAAAATTACATTGTGCCCAAAATAGTTGAATTCTCTCAACCCCTTGTTTGGCTAATGCAGCCTTTGAATTAGCAGTTCTTTTCACCCAAAGTATTCGCAGTTCCATGTCCCTTGTGATCCGTTTGAATTTTTTTCTTCTCATTATTGTATTTCCACATCCTACTTTCCTCATCAAGTAGCCAAGTCATTACCAGTTTGAAAGATAATTAGCTTTCTAACATTCATGATACTAGCCCTTTGCACCCCTTCCATAACTGCCATTACTTCCGCTCTTAGTGAATCACCCTCACCTGCTGGGATAACAGGTTGTTTATTGACATTTAGTCTGCCACCTCCTTCTGTTTTCTAATAATGTCATCAGTGGAGATATGTGAGAAGCTTTCTAAGGATTTCAGCCAGTGATCCACTCTAATATTATTGATTCAATCAAAGCCTCTTTTATTCTTTCCTTTTCTCTAAAAATTATTGCATTTCTTTCTTCCCATACTGCCCAAATTATTGCTGCCCTAGCATGCTTCCACATAGTTTTACCTATCTTCCTCGGCCAAGAACAGGAGGTTGGACCAAAGAGACTTTGATATGAGCTGGAGGAGTCCACCTGCACTCAAATAAGGAGAAAAACCATTCCCGAATGCCAACAACAAATGGACAGGTAATGATGGGGAACTTACTTCCCTAGAAATCAGCTGAATTGGGTCATTGATTACCCTTATGGTTCCTCTTTCAAGAGCAGGATCTAATTGAAAAGCGTTTTTTGGTTCCTCTTTCTATCGACTTGATTGGATATACCCCAATGTTGTTAGACTTGTATTGGATATAGAACCATTTTGGTCACTACATCATAGGTTGAATGGTTCAACTGTCTGATGTGACCATTCAACTTGCTCACATAAAAATGTGAGAAATAAAAAAAATATTATCAAGTATAAAATGGTTTTAGATTACCTTTTAAAGCTACTTTACATCAACATGCACATAAAACACTAAATATTAGAGGCTATACCTCCTATTAACACGTGTATTTGGGGTATGTTTAACCAAGTCAACACTTCTAAGAGCTGGTCAACCACCATTATGACTGCTGGTTCCTGGTTTGAACGGTTTGCCATCCAGTCTGGCCTGAGCTTGACAACACTGATATACCTATAAATCCTTGGGCAAAGGGAGCTGAGAGTGCAAGGATGGAAATATGTAAAACTTCTATGGACCTTGTTCTGTCCCTTGCTAAAGTGAAAATTTTTCCTGTTGATTTTAGAAACTCCCTTGATGGGTTTGGGTACTTCATATAAAATGATAACTTTTATGCAATAAGTTGTTCAAATTGATTACTCATAAAAAAAAAGGTTGTTCAAATTGACAAATTGTCAGAATTTAACTTCATGATGGAATGGTAAGTTTGACCAAGAACTTTATGTTATGAAGGGTCACTTGTGAAATATTGTAAATTTTAAGTACTACATCCTCTGACAACATATGATTTGATATACATGGAGTGGGTTCTCATATCATTAATTGACATGTTGATCTTATAAATGCAATACCCTTTCACTAGTGCTGTTAGGATCTTCTAGTATGCACTAATTAGAAGTTATTATGTCTTAGCAATCTAAATCGTACTTCAATTCTTCTAAGTTCTAACTTACAGCAAGTTCTAACTTCTAAGTTTTATAAATCTTCCAGATTTTGGAGGCTTTGCTACCAAAAGGTATGATTGTTCCAACTGCTTTTGAAACAGTAGGACATATTGCACACCTGAACCTGAGAGATGACCATCTACCTTACAAGAAACTTATTGCACAGGTGCTTAATCTTGGCATTATTACTTAATGGAGGGAATATGCATGCCAAGCTTTGCAAATAAGTTATCTAGTATTGCAAACGTCTAACATTTTCCCCATTTCAGGTAGTATTGGATAAAAACAAACCAAAAATTCAAACTGTTGTCAACAAGGTTGATGCCATTCACAATGACTATAGGACGATGCAACTTGAGGTTCTGGCAGGCAATCATTCCCTTGTAACTACTGTAATTGAGAACGGAATTCGTTTTCATGTTGATTTAGCGACAGTGTATGCCCTTGAACCCTGTATTTTTGCCTGATTGAAATTCGTTTTGATGTTGCCAGCTTGAAGTTCTGGCAGGCATATATTTGTTTTAGTCTGGCTGCAGGGCTCCTGGTTCATAGTCTAATTCAATGCCTTATGTTGTTTAGTTTTCCTTGTTAATAATGATCAAAGAGGCTTTTATGAGAACCTGATGGGCACCCCTGCTAATTATAAAGATCTAAGAGAAGGATGTCTATAACATTTTGTAGTACCACCAGTAACACGTTGAACAGAAACAAAAGATGTACAATAGCTTCTCAGTTGTTCAAGTAAGCCCTTGAGCTAGATGCAAATTGCAGCCTATCTACTTCACCTCTGCCTAGAGAACCATTTATGACATTAGCTGATTTGTGTATCTACCTGAATGAGGGTGGTGGTTAATGCGTTAGCTTCTCTAAGGGAGAATCTTAGGGTCCAAGGACCAGAAACATTTTAGAGTTCACCACCCAATCACAACCTTGCAGTTTTTACTACTGAACTAAACCTTGTATAACTCTCAACATGCTATTACTTAATTAAACCTGTTTAAGGTGGCAGCTAATGCCTTGGCCGTTGTAGTCAATTTTAGTATTTGTTTTGTTTTTTTTTTCCTAAACTTGTTTGTTATAACTCAATTTAATCTTAAACCAACTATTTGGGATAAGTGAATGAATTTTTCCCCACATGTCCATTTTATCTAGGCTCACAACCTCATATCCTCAGTTAAACCATAGCTCTTGAAGTTTTCTCTACAGTTCCACCCTTTTCTTCTGTTGCCTTCTCTTTGTAACCTTTCAATTTGCACCAAATGACCCATTCCTTCTGGTGTGGCCATTGCTCTTCAGTGCACATAATTTGGTAGCCATAATTATGTGTGTAAATAAATGGTTATAAAAATGTAAAATTGTAATGTTTTTGCTCTATTTCAATGATATTATCCTTTACCTGTTTAAAAAAAAAAGTGAAATTGTACGGCATTCTTGATAATTGACCCTCAATTGATCTCTTCTTTTTTTTTGTACATTTATCTTTCAAATCAACATTCATAAAATATTCTATTCTTTTACAAAATTATAGAAGTTTATAATAGGAGTTTAGATATTTTATTACTGATCACATAGCTTCAGTATATGTAGTTTTCTGTTACTGTCATTCTAATATATATTTTTTTATGTGTTTAGTTTACATACAAACTCAAACACATTGATTTGGAGACTAGATCAGACTGGATGGTTGAACTATTTGGACGGTCTTTCCCTTTTTTTTTTTTTTAACTTTCATTCTATAAAAAATGACTGACTTAAGAGCGCTTCAAAGTTCAAACAGGAAAATTGGACCCTTTATTTTGACATATATAGACACTCATTTGCTTTGTAAAAGTTAGAATTTATTTTTCTTGCTGTTGTTATATTTTTCTTGATTTTTCATTTTCCTGAAAATTGAACCATTTTCTTTTTACATATATACACACATTTTTCTTTGTGGAATTTTTTTTTGATTGGTAACAGTGAAATACCTTTATTAATTTGATATAAAGTAATTACAATGGTTAAGTGCCTTGCACCCCTTTTGGGTTGTTAACCTCATTGGAGTGGAGAGATTTGACCAACCTTAGGCCATACAGCACAGCCTATAACTCTGCCCTAATGGAATCACCTACCCAATAGAGCCTGAATAGAGTGCCAAGATATTTCCTTCCCCATTTCTGAAATCTCCTACTACAGAGGGCCCTGGGTTTTAGTTCTTGCTATTGATGGGGGAGACCCACTATCATCCAATTTCTATCCTGTTATTCTTTTCTTTGGTTGGTTATGTGTGTCTAGACTTGCTATTCCTGAGATGTGGACCATGGTATCTTGCTTTTAATTTGTAAAACTACTCATACAACATATCCTTAAGGACTGAAGAATGAACAATTATAGGTTCTGCATGCATGATGGCAAAGATCCACTTGTTGCTTCTTATGCAGATACTGGAATTCAAGGCTAGCAACAGAAAGACAAAGGCTTATCAGCTTCTTTACAGCAAAAGATGTTGTATGTATGTTTTTTGTCTTTCCTCAATAAAATTGCATGATATAGGTTGCTTAAGTTTATGGCTCCAGAGCTGAAACATTCCTTGAAAGTTGAAACCATATCATAATTGCAACAACCATCATAACAAGTGTGTATGTGCATTTTTTCTTCAAGTGTTTCTGAATGAAATTCAAGAAAGAAGTTATCTAATTCCTAAAACTTTCTACTTTCCTTTTTTGTTCCATTTCCATTTCCATTTCCATCTCCAATACTTATTTAATCTTTGTAACTATCCTCTATTTTCCTTTTTATTCTAAGTATCTTAATTAAACCTTATTATTTGGTCTGATATGGTAACCCTTGAAACCAGAACAAAATGTCAAAATTCTGAAAATCTTGATGTAATTTAAAACCATGAATTTTCTTATGTATCAATATCTTAAGATCCATCTTTCATGTTGCAACTTGCTCCAGAAGCTCCTTCTAGGATTCTGAGGATATCTTAATGTAATATTTATTGCTAACTTTGTTACTTTAAAGGACAAAATTAAACCAAGTTCTGGGTCAAATATGGAGAACACTGGGTGGAATTGGCACCACAGCTTTGTTTTAGTCCTTATCCAAGTATCCTTTGGTTTAGTGTCATTTAAATACTTCATGGTTTGAAACAGAATCATTGGTATACCCAATATATTCCTAAAAATATTGCCATAATCCTTGAATGCTAGTTGGTCATCGTGCTCCATTTAGAGCTGTAAAACAGGCCATGCTGGGTCAGCCTGTGGGTCGTGCCTCCCTCCTCTGGGATATTTTGGGGGGTTGGCCCAGCACGGCCCACGACTTGAGCCCGTGCAGGCTGCAGGCTGTGCCATAGGTTTGGGTTGGGCCAAACCGAGCTAGAAAGGCCTAAACTATTTTTTTGACATTTTGATTTTTTTTAAAATTTTTTGCTAAGTAAAACTAAAATACATTGAAAAAAATAAAAAAATATAACAAAGAAATGAAAAATACTTACCAAAATACAAAATGGACAACAAATTGAAAAAATAGGAATTTTATTTTATTTAAAATATAAAAAAGTTACAAATTGAAAATAAAAAATTACATTGTTGAAAAAATAACAAATAATTTAAATAAAATTGAAAAAACTACTCCATCTCCTTGACTTCAAGTCTTCAATCATTTGCTTCATCAGGTGTAGTAGTGTCATGCCCTTCTTTGTCATGTAATTTATCCTCAACATCCAGCAAATCTTTAAAGTAGATGTCTTTTTCTTGTTTCTCATGGAAGAGCAAATGTTTGCCCAAGTGGCCAGTACCACCCTTGCTACTGAAGCTAAGGTCAATCCTACATTTTAGGTAAATGGCTCTTTTTCCCTTCCCCTCAACCTCCTCTATTTTAAATACTTTCCAAATCGGGCTAGTGAACTTACTATTGGGGAATTAGTTTTGAGAGGAGGAGCCGACCATTTTTTTAATTCTAAAAAAATAAAAATGAATTTAATTGCACTTACACGATCGGATGGCTGGATTACCGGTTCAGAATCTCAATTTGATTTCAACGGTTGAAACCTTTAAGGCCAAAGCCTCCTAAATTGCTAAGTGTATGACATTGACAGTATGAGATGAGAGACTGAGAGAGTATGGGATAATGAGAATAAAGAATTGAGAAGAGAATTCAGAAATGCTGAATTGGTATGATGAGAATGGTGGATGATAGGGGCTATTTATAGGAATTGAAAAAAATTCAATTGCACAAAATGCCCTAAAAACTAGCCATTTTTTAATTGTTGGGAGGGGTATTTTGGTTATTATAAAGTCATTTATCATTTTACTCAAATGCCCCCAAAGTCCCAAACTAGATGTTATATTTATGGGTGAGCATTATTTGGTTAAAACCAAAATACCGAATCGAAAATTTCAGTTTCGGTTTTTGGGTAATTCGGTTCGGTTAATTCGGTTTTTAGGAATTTCGATTTTCGGTTTCAGTTTTCAGAGTTAGAAATTCGGTTAACCGAAAAAACCAAATTAACTGAAATTCATTATATAATATGTAATATATAATATACAATATATAACATTTAATATATAATATTCTATATATTTATATATTAATATATTATATATAATGTATTATAATGAAATTCAATTTCACAATATATATTATAATAATATATATTATAGGTTATAATATATAATATTATATATCTTAATTAAATTCGGTTTTAACCGAAATAATCGAAAATCAAACCGAAAATTTTGGTTTCAGTTATTTCAGTTTTCTTGTAATTTGGATTTGGTTTTCATTTATTTATTTCGGTTTATTCGGTGTTTTTAACCGAATAAACCGAATGCTCACCCCTAGTTATATTATAGGATATAGCTGTTGGAGGGGTATTATTGTCTTTTTCTTCCCCCAAAGCCAAAATACATAAATAGTTGTTGATTGAGGGGGGGTATTTCTGTAAAAACCCCCTAAAAAAGCTGAAACTAGCCGTTTGGGGGTCCGCCAAGGGCTCCAACGGCTAGTTCCTTGGGCAGGCCACATTCGGCCTGTTGTGACTGTGTGTGCCGTGCCGGCCTGGCACGGCCAACACGGTCATGCCGTGCCTGGCACGGCCCGTGTGCCATCATGCCGGGACGCAGGTGGCACGACCTGATTCATAGCTCTAGCTCCATTAGTGTCCCCCTTTATTTGGTATGATTTAGGTGAATTGGTACACAGTCAGGTTTTGGAAGAGCACTGGTGAGGTGATTGATCATTTTGTGAAAAGCTTCCTCATCTTTATGGTCCAACTTCCTGAATGAATGCTCATAATGTGGTGATATCTTAGTGGGAAAGCCAAGGGTTGGGTTTGCTGTGTGTTTGACTTAACTAGATGACCTGACTTGACCACTCTCAACCACTAACCCCTGCCCTGTGAATTAGAGCAAACTCAACAGTGACAGGACACAGAATGGCGGAAGCTGCTTTATAGAGTCATTTTAGCTTGTCTACAATCTTAATATCATTTGGAAACCATTAATCCATTAATTATATCTTTTTTTTTGATGAATAAGAAGATTTTATTACAGAAAGAAGAGAAAAAGTTACAACTGTTTAGGGAGAGGCATGAGCTGCAACCTCTCCCAACAGACTAAAAAGAAAACAAATTACAACTGTGCCCAATACAATTGTTCCCTATTTGCCCCTTGCTTGACTAAGCTGTCAACCAATCCATTAATTATATCTTCTTGCACTGTGAATCAGCAGAAGACATTTGTAAGTAATTACTTTGAGCTTTGGGTTCTTCCTTTTAATATCACTGCTTGGTTGTTATGGGCTCTAGACGTTTGCGTTTGTGTGGGAGGTTTGGACACAGTCATTGGGAGGATTCCTTAGTGCAATTTTGTGTGGTATTTGGGATGGGATGATTACACAAATTTTTAGAAACAAATGTTTTGAAGGAATTAGGAATTTGTTGCTCATTCCTTCCTTCACTTCATCAGTTTACATCTTGATGGAAGCTCATTAGGCAATTTGGGCTCTTCAAGGAAATTTTTTTTTTTTTTTTGGGGGGGGGGTGATATGACTTATTGGTGTCCTAGTTGCTCCTCACCTTCCAAAACGTAATCATGTCACCTCTTTATTTAATTCATAATTTCTGTAAGTTTGTTTTCATGTGGCATTTTTCATGGGCATATGAACTAGAGTTTTTTCATTAAATGCATATGCATATTGCATAGATTTGTAAGTGTCATCCTTGAGAAAGAACCCAAGTCTTCCTATTTCTCCTCCCCCCTTCTTCCCTGTTTTATCTTGTTTTACAAATTCAAACTAAACATTTATTACCTTCTCTACTTTTATTTCCTCAATTTTGGATGCTTTTCAGCGATAATTTTTCTCTTGTAACAAACAGGTGATGTGTTCTCTGGGGTTGGTCCGATAGCTATATCTGCAGCAAAGAAAGTAAAGCGTGTATATGCTAATGATTTAAACCCTTCAGCAGTTGAATATCTTGAAAGAAATAGTGTCCTCAACAAACTTGAGAGAAAAATTGAGGTATGAACTGTGCCTTGCCAAAGAATAATTTTATTGAATCCGATGATGGTCAGTCATTCCATATGTATTCAGTGAGCAACCAAAGTACTTGAATTTCCCCCTTGCTTTTGCCATGAAGACCTTAAGATTCTGTTATAGTAAGTGTAAAATTAATGTTATGTTTCTTAAATACACTCTTAAGTTCCATGTGGATGATGTGTACGGCAGTTTCTGAGTCTTTCTGCTTCATGACTGTGTCATCCATTAAGGGTTGCTGGCAACATTTAAATCTTGGTGATGGAAATGTTGACGACCCAAGAATAGGAAAGTCAGAGCTATTTGAGATATCGTATATAAATACTGTAAACATTATGGAAATGTTGGGAACTTTGTGAAATATGGAAATATTTAATGATATTTTAATAAACGATAAGGAAGCATAAATGCATACTTCCTAAATTATGCTGTTACTATAAAGTACCTTTTAAAAGTAAGGAATGTAAAATATAAATAGATGAAAGTATATGCTATTAGAGTTTCCTGTATTCTTTGAAAGTCAAACTTATAATTTCATATTAAAATCCAATCACATATTTTGGCAATAATCACATTAATCCATAGTGCTAAATTAAATTAAGAGATGCAAAATTATTTGTATCACAAAATTATTTGATGTCCCAGTGGAAATACTAATGCTACATTTAATGAAATGTTATTTGTTACCTTTATTAATATACTCTTTTAATGAAATGTTAATTTTAATGAGCATAGTTATTTATTCAATGAGTTGACTCCTCACACTTGGTTTGCTGATACTTTTCTGTTTCTCACTTCTCAGGTATTTAATATGGATGGTAGAAGGTTCATCACTTCTATTTTTACAAGTAATAAGGTTGAATCTATCACACAAGTGGTTATGAATTTGCCAAATGATGCTGCAGAGTATCTAGGTTTGTATAGTTCCAACTCTATTTCGATGTCAAAATTTTCTGTTATAGCTTTTTGTTTACATATCACATGTTTTCATTGATGTTTTAAAAACAAAGTCGTCTCTATACAGAAAATTGCCTAGGCGGTAGGGATGCAAATCAGGTACCTGATATGCACCCCTACTGCATCAGGCCCCTTCAAATTTTAATGAATATTAAACCCATCCTTGCCAAAGTCGCACCTCTAGGTCCTCTACTGGTGGTGGTTTGGTGGTTCAATCAGGTAATTAGCTCAGATGGTCAAAACTAGGGGGGGGGGGGTGCAAATGGACCGGATCATGTTCTGACCCGAATTTGAATCTGATCCTATTTTGCCGGATTTGGATACCCTATTGGATCTTCGAATCAAAGCGGATCACCCCCTATCTGATCCTTATAAATATGTTTTTATTGCATTTGTTAATTTTTATAAAAAGACGTATATATATGTATATGACAAAAATAATTGAAAAAAATAAAAGTGCTTGTATTTTTTCGTTTTTCTTTATATAGAATGTTATGTTTTTCCCTTTTAATAATATATTATTTATAAATATGTTTTTATTGCATTTGTTAAATTTTTATATTATTTATTTTTTTATACAAAGACATATATATATATATATATATATATATATATATATATATATATGATAAAAATAGTTGAAGAAAATAAAATGCTTGTACTTTTTGTTTTCTTTATATAGACTGTTATGTTTTTTCCCTTTTAATAATTTGTTAAATTGTACAGAAATTAAATTGGATCAGATGAGATTCGGATACCTCTTATCCTTAATGGATTCAAATTGAATTTACCTTTGTGAGATCTGATTTCGGATAGGAGCAGATATAAGATTTATATTATCGAATTGGATTCAGATATACTCCGATTCAAATCCGATCCGATCGATTTGCATTCCTACTCAAAACTATAAAAGACCGAGGACATTTTGTTTCTGTTTTCACCGTTTCAATCCCCGGGGCAATGATGGATTGAAAATGCTAGTTCCCGTTGATTTTAAGAGGTTATTTTTAACTTGGTCATGTGACTAATTGTATGTTTTGATGATTTGATTACTGCATGTCTGTATTATTAGAACTCATAAAATTATAACTATTGACTTTTTCAAAATAATGGGAAATCTGTGGAATGAGGTGTAAGGGTCACATCTTACATGCAGGACAGGAAGAAGAAAGTCCTATTGTGCATGTGGTGGGTATAAACAGGGAACTTAAAGTATCATTTATTAGAGGAAGTAATTCAGATGTCAAACAAAGAGAAAGGGAAGAAAAATTGCACCTCTATGGAAAACAGATAGAAAATAGAGATTAAAAAGAAGACCACACTATGAGATGTGAAATGATAACAAACTAGTTATCTCTTCACTTTGCCTGCAGGTAAGCTGAACTTTCAATTTCAAACTCTATTTATAGATTCATATACAGGCTTGGATCTTCCTTTACAGACTTCAATTGGATTAGGAAATTGATCCAAAACTCCCAACTGCTTCAAAACTACAACAAACCCATAGATAACTGTTAAGGACATGAATTCTTAAACATACTAAAATTAAACAAGCCAAAGATAATTCTAAGAATTATCGAAAGATTTAGAAAGATCCAACTCCTGTCATGAACTAACTCTATTGGTAAAACAGCCATGACTTTCTCAAAACATGTTGGATCTACAGTACTTGGTCTCGTTAGATTGAAAACATGATAACCTATCTGGTTACACAAAAATCATGCAGAGTGGACAAGTTTTTGTCCCTGAAGATAAGCTGAAAAAAAGTGGCGTAATTGCCTATTCAACCTTTCAGAATTACAAAAACTCTTTTGCTGTAACTATTGAAACTAATTCGATTCTTTAAGATGATTCCCAAGACAAATGTGAAAACAATCTGCAAGAAATTCATGTTAACAAAAAATAAATCATTTAAAAATTATGAAATTGCCATTGGTGCAGCAATAAGAAAATTGATTTCTTTCTCCATGGGTTCTTTGTTTGCTTCCATGTTTACATCACTCTTCTATTTAACAAAATTTATAGGCAGAAAGAAACATTCCATGAGATTCCTAAGCATTCAGATAATAATTACAAGATTCTAGGAATTGTGACAACCTTACATGCAATACATGTAAATTACTTTTTAATAGTTATAAACATTTCCAATTAGAGGGTTGCTATTCATCTGCCATGTTGCTTGAAAGGTTGTAACTTATTTTTCTTTGCTGGATTATACTATTATGGTGTAGCTATTGCTTTTTTCTCCAGCAGGTTTTTTTGATCAATTGTATGCAGTACAAAGTTAGCTTTACATTTTAAGGCATAATGTCATAGACCAACTAGTCCTCCTTAGCAAAGAAATTTGTACTGAATAATAAATGGAAATTTGTTCAATGAACATTGCTGTGTCATAAAGCATAATAGCATATACTATCTTAGTTCATGACTGCCATTATGTGAAAGATGTTAATCAATTATGATTGCATTCCATTGTCTTGTTTAGTTGCATGCTTGTCCGGTATAAAAAAATCTGGTGCATAATTTGGACGGTCCACTTTTATTAGGTATATTTGATTGAATTGGCAGTATGAAAAAGAAAAAGTTGGATCTAAGAATGGGCCACAATTCTGCATGGTGTATCCTGTACCTTTGGCATACTTATTGATCTGAATTATGGACTGCATTGTGCATGGAAGATTTGAATTGAAAATGAATGGATATAGACCATGCACTTGGTTATTTTAAATGTTGTTGTGTAGTAAAAAATCAATGTTGTAGAATATAGAGAATCCATTTACTGGATGGTCAGGATCATCTTATTAAATTGATTAAAAAAAGTCCAGGTGGCCTATCACTTAGATATTCCACAACTCAGTTGTCCCACAAATATTGCTTGGACCAATTATTTTGTTTATATTTTTTTGAAGTGCACTTGCATGATTTCATTTATCTCGGATCAGAAATGCCAGAAGTTCAGGTCCCATTACATAACCATTTCTTATAACATGATAATACAAACTGCAACCTCAGCTGCTCAACTGCTCAAGCAACCGAGTAATTGGACATTTTGACGTGCAGGGACATGGTTCCTCTGTTCAAAACCTAGGATTCATGTTATTGTGGAACTTCTTTCCAAACAAGAGCTATATATCCCCCTTTGTTTTCTATATGCTTGATATTTCCTTTCAATGGTAGCAGATGCATTCAGGGGTATATTTAGAAGACGGTCTAAGGACAAAGAATCCGCCTTGCCAATGATTCATGTTTACGGATTCTCCAAAGCTCAAGATCCTGAATTTGACTTTGACGAGGTTTGCATCTGACGTATGGATAAGCCGTCCAATTTTCCTTCTTTCTTCGTTTTATGGTTGGTTAGTTATTTTCTTTTATTTTATGATAACTGCAGCGGATAAAAGCTGCGCTTTTGGAGGAAGCTGTTGAGGCTGAAATGCATAGGGTTCGGCTTGTTGCACCTGGAAAATGGATGCTTTGTGCATCCTTTATCCTTCCAGAGAGAGTGGCATTTGCAAAAGAATGTTGAATACTCAAACAAAACCAGGGTTGGTGGAGGTTGAGGGTGATATGAATTATGGGGAAATATAGTGAGGGTTGGAATTGTGGTTCAAACAAGTTTTATCCTACTTTTTTTCATAGTTGTATCCTATTAATATTATCTTCCCTTTTAGATGATTGTGCTGTGCTGTGCTGTGCTGTGTACAAGTGGAAAGCTCATTATACAGGATTTGCATGCCACATAACAAGAGCTTTGCTTCATAGAATTATAAATTTTCTGTTACACTAGTTTGGGATGGCCTGAATAGGAATTTTGGACGTATTAAAAAAAGATGTGGGCATTCATGTTTAAATAGAGAAACCTATACATGGGAGATGGGATACCTCATACCTAGGAAAATAAATTTTTCCTAATCTTTACATAAATCTGAAAAAAGATGGGTTTCTTGGTCAATGGGAACCAAAATTTCATTGATCAACTTTTCCCCTCTCAAAATCCAAAAAAAGAATGGTTCCTCAATGTAAAATGGACAGAAACATTCAGACTGGAAATATTTGGGCTATGTGTTCATGTATTTTAAAGATTTTTGTTTTCCTTGCAAATCTCATCTCTCTCTCTCTCTCTCCTAGGTGGTATTTAGCAATTGGTAAGGGCTTAAGTTAGATGCCTGATATAGACGTTATTCCAATTTTAGTTGGGGTGACAAATGAACCCCTGGAGGAACCTCGATATACTAGAAATTTCAAATATAATTGCTGGGTAACCACTTAACCCCTAGTTCCTACACCTAGAGTAATGTTGAAAGCTCAATTTTCAAATGGGAAACTTTTCAGTTGAGCAGTGAGCAAACGCCACCTTAATGGTGCCACCCGCCGTCACCTTGCCTGTAATCGGATGCTGAAAATCACTCATTAATTTATAGATGGACTCCCCGTTCTCTCACCGTAATTAACGGGTTTTGAGAACTGTGTGAAGTATAAATCCATTATATACTTGGGTTTAATCTAAGGTTTAGGGTGGGAGTGAGGGGACCATAATCCATAAACAACATGCTAAACTTCTTATGTGGTGGAATCGGTATTACAACAGTCAACAGTAGAGTATTATTATTGGTGGAGACTGGAGCATAATAAAGTTGGCACCACTAAATTAGAACTATCAACTTAAGAAACTGTAGGGATTCCATGTAGGGGTGAAAAAGGACATTGCTTCTCACGCTATCAATGAAAGCCTTGTAATCATTTTCCCCTTCGGAGTAGGTACCCTATGTTCTTATAAATAGAAAGAAATGGCCAAATGGGGGCCCACCCAAACCCATAGTTTCTTTATTGAGAGGTTTGGCGTATCTGAGTTCAGATCCAAATCATCTCTCTCAGTCTCTCTCTCTCGGTGGTCCCTCTCCCTCTCCCTCTCCCTCTCCCTCTCTAGTAGTCTCTACTTTATCTTCAGTTCCCATCATCATGAAAAGGGGGAGACATGAGCATTGAAAATGGAGGAAAGTGGGGGTGGTGTGTTGTTTCAATTGTACCAATTTGCCCCAAAATGGTTATACTTCTACACAAGTCGTATAAAGCCAGGACCAGCAGTTGCCCTAACTTCTCCCTTTCTTTTGGCAATCTCTAGGTAAACCGCGGGGACGGGGGCCGCCCTAACTCAATAACTCCTACTCCTAATAAGTCCTAACAACAACTCACACCCCTCCCTCCCCTGAACCCTGAATTCCTGATTCAATCCTCACTCCTTCCTATCTCACTTTTACTTAAATTGACCAGGACGCCCCTGTCTGTTAGTCACTTCAGCCAGCGTGACATATATAGGGTCATTTTGGTCAAGTTAAGTTATGTTTCCGTCTCTTACCAAACAAAGCAGGGAATGCAGAAGGGGCATATTCATAATATAAGCCATTACCGGGGGCAAATCTGTAACTTCAACTGGGAACAAGGATCTTTCTGGTTCTTGGGGCTGGGGCGCTGGGCAGAGGAGGGACTCAGGAGCACACATACAGACAGAGACAATGCGGGTCGGATAGCAGGTTGTTCTCAAACACGTGTGAGATGGGCCCCACAGATCCACAGTACAGGGGGCATTTGCATTGCATTGGGTGAGCAGTCCCGTACGCTGCCCAATCATTCCAAGCAGAGCGAGATCTGCTTCCCAGAAACCCAGAATCCACCATGTCTGTCCATAACCAGCATAAAAAACATAGCAGCAACCATCTCCTTACACGTGTCATCTGCTCGACCCATCTTGACGCAATCGATAACGCCTTTGCGATTCCTCCACGTCGTTTTTCTCAGCCGCCACAATCCGTACCCGAAATCATCGCCCCTCTCCTTCTCCTCCTCCTCCTCCTCCTCCTCTCACTTAACTTCCTCGTACGACACAGATTCCCGCTTCATCTCATCTCATCTCCTGCTGGTCCCCACATCCACGTCAGACGACTGAAACTACGCGCGTCCTCTGATGCCACCTGGGGACCACAACAAGGTTCCCATCAGTGCAACAAAACCTATCAATTCGGATTCTCCGAAAACGATGCACCTCCAGGATATGAATTTGCGGAGCCCCGATTTTTTTCTTTTTCTGTCCGAAATCTATAGAAGATAAACAACGTAAAAGGCATGTGGCCCCACTTGTCCACCTGGGTACTTACTTTTTATTAAAGAATCTCGCGGTTTTGTGTGTGTGTGTCCCAACAGCGTCGAGAGAGATCGAGAGAGGGAGAGAGAGAGGTGGACATCCACGCTTTTAATATCTTACCAAACCGGATCGAAACGTGTTGGGTTGATCACGCGTATTGGACTTCCACACCTCAATCCCTCATCCTTCTTTATGAAAATTTGTCTCTGTTTTCCTTAATAGATGTAATCATTATTTATTTACTTATTTACTTATTTGCAATGCTTTTTCTTTTCCTTGCGTGCAAGTTGCAATGGGCGACCAAAATACATTGTTAATTAGCATCTTCATATTTTCTTTATTTTTTCCCTTTTAGTTAATTAATTCAAATATAAAAACTTGAAAAAATAAAAATTTAAGACAAACTAAGAGGAAGGAAGATTTATTTGGACAAAATTTTGCTTATGACAGAGCTGTGAAAAATAAAATCAACCAAAAAGTGTTTTCCCGAGCTTGCTAAGAATTGTTTTTGAAAACATTATAGTTTGGTGGTACTTTTGAAAGTACTTTTCATACTCTCAAAAGTATGAATGTACAAAAAATACCAGAACACGTTTATTTGAGGTGTTTTTTATTTTTAAAAAGCACGAAATCAAAATACAAAAAATATGAAAAACACGAAACCAATTTTTGATACTTTGTACTTTTTGGTCATTTAACATATTTTATAGTTTATATTTTTTGAAACGTGTGCATCAACCACATATATGATATTTATACACTCCACCACGTGATAACATATATGAATATCGCGTAGAAGTAGAGACATATTAATGTATTCAATGACATGTGACATATCACAGAATATACAATATCGTTGGTTTACCTTTAGGTGCCACATTGCATTCATCTATGCTGCCACATGACATTTACATGTCATTGATCCAACATTTAGATATCACGTGACATCCATATATACTGCCAGGTGGCACATATTGATGTCACATGTCATATGAATACAATTCGTGATAATTATATGCCACATGGAATGTACTATTATTGTCTTAAGCTATGTTTGGTTCGAAAAAAAAATGTAGGAAAACCTATACAAGGTTTGCTAAGGTTTCCTTACCTTTCCCTTTCCCTACTTTTTCTTTCAAGCCAAACATAATCTTACTTTCAAATACCACATGACATCCACATATTATTGATTTATATTTAAACATCACGTGATATCCATATATAGTGTTATGTGACATCCATATATTATTGATTTACATTCAAATACCATGTGGCCTTATATATGGATGCCACGACGTATGCATACATATAAAATATTTTGTTATATCCAAACACTATAATTTACTTTTACTTTGAAAAACATGTTTTTCAAAAAAAATTTATTCAAATAGTTTTTGAAATAAAAGTATGAAACAAAAAATATACCATGTACTTTGTACTATATCATATACTTTGTACTTTGATGTTATTAAAAATACAAAGCAAGGAGTACCACCATACATGGCCTATTTAAAAGTTTTAACACTTTTACATCACAAAGCACAAATCCAAAAGTTTCTCCAAATGCTATTTTACTTTAGGTGTACGCAAAAAGCTTGGATCATAAACATCATGGATGGTAACCACTCTAGGCCCCATAACTTGCAACCTTTCTTATAGTAACATGCTGACCCATCACCAAATTGAACATAGAAAATTAATTAGACAAAAAAGTTACGCTAAGTTCCTATATAAAATGTTTGTTTCTAAAGGGAAGTGTTTGGATGGTTGCCACAAAATTTTTATTTAAATTATTTGTAAGATCTAAATAACATATAAGTTAAATGGTTTGTCTATAATATTTGGAAGAACTTACAATCAATCGACCGGCATCATAAAAGTAATAACTAATTAGGTGGGTTTTCATCAAATTTTTAGGGGGTTGTGATTTTTTTTGATAAGTATAGGGGGGTTATGATTGGTCAAAGCCTTTCTGGTGTTATGTCTTTCTGGCATCATAGATTTTTCTTTGAATACAAAACAAATATGTAAGTGCAAAACCTTGGGTATTGCATTTCTAGACTTTGTATTTATACTGTACGTATCTGCATTTATATTCTTCCCAAATTGAATCTTGGGAAAAAATCCCTATCGCCAGGTTGGGGGGTTAGGGATAAAGGGATGGGGGTACCCCATTGTGTAACCCCACAAAGCTTGAAAAAAGAAAGGCAATCAAATAGTCATGGATGATGACCATTTTATTATGTACCATCTGGTAACTTGTGGGAACCCTAAAATGCAAAAAGCACTTGTCTCTAGACCTTATCAAATCCCACCTCATTTACTAAATAAAGAGTGATGTTCAGGTCTCTTTTGAAGAGGATTCTCTTGTTACCATGGTTACCTATTTATTGTTCTGCAAGATTAGTCTGATTATAGTGATGTATATTTTACTTTTCTTGTTGTTTGTTTCTATGGTTTTGTGATCTAAGTATCCAAGTATTTATGATTGACATTTTAAAAAAAGGAGTGATTTTTAGGTAGAAACGCATCTGCCTTAGCAATCTCACTAAATAACTTGAGAGAGCATTTTGTATTTATTATTTATTGAGAGTTTGAGACTAAGAGGCCTATTTGATGACAGCCAAATTAGCTGAACTGAATGAGTTGTTGCTTTGTCTCTTACCAAACAAGTTAATAAGTAGGTTGTGAGCTCTTTAATGGCTGAAGCTGAAGCTGAAGCTGAAGCTGGAATATTTGATTATTGTACCTGTAATTATTTTATTCACTAAATGACAAAGCAATAAATCATTCAGTTAAGCCACTTAATCCACTATAAAACTGAATAAGTAAAGAAATTGTTTTGAAGTTTTGATCTGGAAACAATATACTCCATTGTAAGAGTTCATTGTCATTTATAAGAGGCTGGAAATTTGAAAAGAATTAAAAGGATGAAATCCAAAGCTGATAATCAATAAATATGAGGAGCTTTTATGGAGAAAGAGCGTTCTAGTAAAATCATTACTCTTTCTTTTAATCCTCTAAATCTACCATATATATAATGAAGAATAAACATAGAGGTGTTCATGGTGACAACATTTTTACATAATCATTGCTGATGTGGCAAACAAAATCATACACATTGCCAAACACCCCTTAAGTCAAAGTCAATGTAATATGGAAACTCTTTTTTAACACTCGTAATATTCTTCTATACATGATTCAACATTACCGATTATACATTACATTAATAGTTCTACATACTATACAATACACCGCCTAAAATAATTCTTTGAATTCAAAAAGGGGTGGGGGGATTTTGTAGAATTCATAATTTCTATTTTCTATTTATTAGAATGGCTAAACCAAGATGTACTTAAAAATTCTAAAATTCCTTTAGTTTTCTTTTTATATATATATATATATATATATATATATAGAGTCAGGTTTTTGATATTGCCATATAAAAACAGGTATTAATTGCAAATCTGAGCTATATTACGATAGGTGGTGATTCACATATTTATGACTACATTATAATATCTCGAATGATTCAAACCATATGGATGAGATGACGGAGTGGTTTTCAGTTTTTCAGGATTGTATGTATGTATTGTACTCTACTGTACTCCCGGGACTCACATTCATGATTCTCCTTCGCCGGTTGGTTGGGTCCCGCACCAATTCAACAAATTAGATATGATCACAACCGTCTAATCTATCATCAGATATTGCAGAGGGAAGCTTTAGTTTGTCCAATCAAATGACGAGGTTTAAATTAAACCCTAGCTAGAAAAAGGAAATGAAGCTGGGTGTATTTCCTTTGTACCTATTTGTCGAGACTGGGACACACACACACACACTGTGGACTATGGTCCACGGCGCGCGCCAGCCTGATTTTGCGTTCTAACAGCAGTTCCGATTTCCGACTGGGGTCTGGGAGGGTTCGGCCCGGGGCCAGCAGCACTCCTGTCCCAGGGTCCGGACACCAGCCCACTGTGATCGGTCCGTAGCGTCAGCCAACAGATGCAGATTTTGACACGTGTGTTGGAGAGAGAGAGGGGACCACATTCTACGGAGGCGAGAGTAATACCAAGATCTCTCTGAGACTGAGAGTTCATGCTATGCGGCTATATCTTCTGGGAATATGATAGAATATATCGTATTAATTTAATAATAGAGGGCGAGGGCCACCTCTCTCTCTCTCTCTCTCTCTAAGTACGTATGTAAGTAATCGGGCGAGGGGGCTTTCCATCGTCCATCCATGTCCTTTTTAGCATTTCTCTCTGACTACTTTTCTGGTTTGTTCTTTGCGCACTCCCTCTCTCCAAAAGCATGCCATCTTCGCTTCTCTACCTTTAAAAACAACCTCTCACCCCCACCTTATAAATCTTTCCTTCTCTCTCACTCCCCTCTCGGCCCTCTCTCCAAGTTAGCAAGCTAGCGGGCTTTTTCCCCAGATATTTTCATGGCCACTTCATTTCATCCCTGGAATTCCTCCAACGGGAGCCAGGGAGGAGGTGACGATCGTGAAAACAGGACCCTGGAAGAGAGGGAGACGAAGCCCGAGACTGTGACTAAAAGAGGAAGAAAGAGCAAAAACGGTCCGCCACAAAAGAAAACGCCTCAGAGAGGATTGGGTGTGGCTCAGCTGGAGAGACTAAGGTTGCAGGAGAGGTGGAAGAAGATGACGGAGATGGATCCGCTTCTATGCCATAACCTCCAAGATCAGGTCCATTTTCCTTTCTCTTTCCCGCTAGTCAATCACCAGACTGGGATTGCGGTCCCATTGTCTGGACTTGCTCCGGCCAACTATGCAGCAGTATCATCACAAAGCAATGGCCAATCCACCTCGCAGTCCTTGATTCATAAGCCGCACAGTATCGCCAACAGCGGGTTTTCGGGAGTTCCTGCTGTCTCCGTGGGGGGTTTGCGACTACCGACGTATTATTCCGATCAATTTCAGGCGGACCGGTCAAGGATCGACGGTCAAAAAGTGAGATTCCAGAACGGGCATCCATTGGAGACGGGGAAAGAGCTCTCTTCAATTCAAACTCAAAGGATGCATGGTTTGTCTGACCAGTCTGCCATGTGGGATAAGGTGATGATGAGTTTCTAACTTTATTCTGAGTAGTTTGTTAGGGCCTTCTGTACTGTAAGCTCTTCGCTAATATATTTATTATTGTTAAGCATTGTGTTGACATTTGTGCTGCTCTGCAAAATAAGAAACGCTTTAATGGCGAGAATTTAGGGCATGGCGAAGGGCCAGGGAGATACTCGTGGGCAATGCCGACCAACGGCAACGATTTTCTAGCATTGAATCTCGGATGGAACAGAGATCTGGGATTCGGTATGGGAGCAAGACACAGTGGATCTAACGTCGTCCATGAGGTTAAAATTTAAAAATTCTCTGAAAACTATTTCGCGAGAAAATTTTTAAGGAGAATACAAGTAAGAAATAAATATAAATTATGTTATAAATAATACAAGGGTTTTGATTCGACGAAACAGGAAGTGGAAGTGGTAGCAATTCACAGAAAGGGGAAGTCGGTGGCGGGGGACGTGATAATGGAGTACGATTTCTTCCCGTGTGTGGCAATGGACAGAAACAACGGTGGCTCTTCTTCGACGTCCCAAACTGAGGCGTCGTCGTCGTCTGAGGCGTCAGCAGTGGTAACAGCAACAGCAGGAGCGGTGGGTGAAGCTTCTAGGAGTGCAGCTAATTTTCTTGATTTGTCACTGAAGCTTTCCTGTTAGGAGCATAAAGCCAGTTTAAATGCTTTCCATTTTCTTTTGCTTTTGTTTTTTTATTTATGTATGCAATGCAACTGAAGCTCACCCCAAAGTACAGCTTTTGGTCTTGCTGTTTTTGTGAAATGAACATGGAAATATAGAGCTAGTGATTCACATTCTGTTGCTTTATTATTATTATTATTATTTTTATTTTTTTTCGTTTGATTGAGAAATGGGGCCCCGTGTTTTGCTTAATTTTTTTTGAACATTGATCTACTATTAAGGAAAATAATTTGGATGGTTGAAATTATCCAGGTCACACAGAAAGTGGGGGTTGGTTCTGTAGTTCTGTTTTTTTTTTATTTTTTTATTTTTTTGGAATAAAATTAAAGTGTCATAAACCCTATGACTTATTCATCAAAAAACAAAACCCTGTGGCCTGTGCAATATTTTACCCCAATTAATTAATTTTCTACTAGATGAAAAATTCTTGTAGACACAAACTCTGATATACAAAATCACATGAAGTAGATGCGGGAGGTTCGTAGGGTTTACCAATTTTAACTGTCAACTACCGTCTGATAGTGGCTCGTACATAGTAGTAAGGTGTGGTTCTTAAAAGGACTTTTAACTATCATTAAGGCCCAGTTTCATTCAGTGTTTTTGTGCGATATAAATTATCGCGGTAATTAAAGAGAGAGAGGAGAGAGCGCGTTATTTTCAGTGAGCAGATAAGCGATTTATCCACCCTCAGGGTGGGTATTAATTAGATTGGAAAAAGCAATAGTTTGGGAAAAGTTGCTTACCATGGAATCCATTATAGCAGCTTACCGATTGACTAACTTACCCCCGTGAGATACTGACAAAAATCATCCACTTGATTAGAATATGAATTCATTCTCACACTTTTAAAGACTTGACCATTTATGATCATCTTACCGGCCAGTAGATCAATTGATTAATTGGACTATAATGTAATCGTCAATGATTTAACTTGAAACGAGGAATAAAAAAGAAGCAAGTTGCGTGCATGCACATTAGCACATACGGAACAGGGGAGAAGGAGAAGTAGCTTTCACTGCCATTCTAATTAAATCAATTATATAGCAGGGACCAGGGAGGGAGGGAGGGGGTGTTGCTTTTCTTTTTCTTAATTTTGTTTTGGAGGAACCATTTCTTTTCTAGAGTAAATATGTATCTTTTAATGTCCTCAGACACAAGGAACGTATCTCTGGGTTTTCTCCATATAGAACTGCCAAGGGAAAGAAAAGCAAAAAAACAGAAACTATTTGGGACGGGACAGTGAGATCCTTTTCTAATGACGAGATACGTGTGAAGGGGTGACCCAGCGTACAAACACTCAGTACCGATATTTCTCTCTCCCATTGTAGGTGAGTAATGAAGGACAGGAAAAGTGGGATTGTCAGGTGATACTGGATAGCAGTGGTAGAAGAAGAATAATGGTAGTAGCAGTACTTGTGGCAGTAGTACGATATTCAAAGCTTTTTGATCAGCCTCTTGATTGGATGATCACCACTGAAGCACCAGACTTGCATGCTATGGAAATGGGGACAACCCAACTCCATCGAGATCATGTCTTCATCTTTTTAAGCGCGCGCTGAAGGCTAAAGCATCAACCAGCTACACTCCCAAGTTTAATGCCGTAGCCCGTAGCTAGGTTTGCCTTTGTTGAAACTATCCTCCATTTCATGGGAGTAGGTCCCAAATCACGACGAGGGTGATATTGTTTTGTTCTTGATATATCCCCTACCTATGTCATAACTTACTTAGCAGCTGGTTCTACGAAAATTCACAAACAGAAGGGAACCTGCAGCTTCTTCCAAATGCTTGTCACCTCAGGCCTTAATTTGTTCCTTCTTTTCACAAGCAATCCAAGTATTGTGCCAATACCAACGATATTCCACAAACGTACAATGGCAACTCCTTAAACATGCAAAATTAATTAATCCTCTTTATAAACATTGTTTTCAGAATACAGAGGCTCGTTGGCCCGGGTTGTCGAACCAGTAAACTGGGCAGCTGCGTCAGTCCTGGGTTTTTGATGGCTTTGATCGAGTCACCAAGTAAGAATAACATCCATCGGTCACTACTCAGGAGGAGTCAGGGCTACTTAATTTGGATATGTTAAGAAAGGGTAGAAAATAATATTAATGGATGATGGGAAAATATTGGCTATACTGTTGAGTACCTCGTTCAAAGATTTAAAGATATTAATTCAGCGTTTGAACCTCATTAATTATCGGAAGTTGGGAAATTTACTCTTCATCTTCTTTTGGTCATTTGCTATGTTTTTGCCACTAATCTCTTCACAGTCTATGGGGTATGAACCTCAGCACTCACTGCAGAGAACGTCTAAATACAAATATATAGTGTACTTTCTATGTATTTGTATTGTACATATTCTTTAAGATCTGAGCCGACTGGATTTTTGTTTAAGAGCAGGTGCGGCGTGCAATGTCGATGAACCCAGGAGATGTACACAGACAAAGGAATCTGAATATCAGAAGCCAACAACTTCACTAAGAATCCGTGAATGGTCAGTGGGCATATAAGAAAATCGAACCTCTGATCACCTCATGGTAGAGGCCGAGGCCGTTGGAACATTCAATAATCATGGTGTTATCATTTTTTATTTAGAGTAAGGCAAGAAAAGAAAATATTATTAAATATTAATAATAAATGTGGCAACCAATCAGATCGATGTTATTCATGAAGGCTCTTCCGTTACCAATATCATTATATCAGACATTTCAGACCTTTCCGGAAATGGGTGGACTTTGTGAAAAAAACGAAAAAGATAACCGTGGACGGCAGGATTCGAACCTGCGCGGGCAGAGCCCACATGATTTCTAGTCATGCCCGATAACCACTCCGGCACGTCCACAAGACACGAATGTTGGAAGAACTGTTTTCTTCAAGGTCTTGTATTGCAGTACAATTTCAAGTGCAGATGATTTCTGCTTAGATTCTGGTTCATTTTTGTTTTAGATTTTGTTCTATTATTGAAATTTGATCCTACAACTAAAACATCTCCCTATGAATTTAATATACAAGTATAGAAGATATTTCTAATATATGAGTGGATGTAATGTTTTGGGATGCATGAAGAATTGTGTGGGGAGGGACGGATCAGATTTAATCCAGTTCGTACAAGTTTATTTTTTAGCCATACTCGGATTGAATTGGATCTGAGAATATGATTTGCTTATTAAACAGATTGAAATTGGATATATATTGATTGAAGGTGCCAATTGATAAGGTCTCTGGCTGGTTGTCCCAGAGATTTGGGAATTGGGATCAAATCCCACTTTACCAGGTTAATGGATTTGAGTAACGAATGGGTTAACTCGTTGTGAATTAGGATATCTCAAAATTCGACATGTTTTTGCTTGCAGAAGATGAAGACCCCTCGCGAACCAAGAACTTGTCAGACTCCTCTCAAATTACCTGGTGTTATTGCCGATTTTACAAACTGAAAGTATTATTCTACTTTTTCTTCTCTTTAACTGTGGAATGTTCACGCCTTCACGGATGAAAAGCTTTCTTCCACGCTTAGCTCTGACTCTGGCTCTCCGCTGTTTCACAATGTATGGATGTATAAGATGGCACCATTGGATCCTCCAAGACTTGGCCACCATAGAGATGGTTGGTGGGAGTTGGGACCAAAGGCTCAGATTGGTTTGACGTGTATCTTCCACGAATCATCACTACCATTTGCAGCTCATCGCATGCTACAGGGATCAGGGGATTTGGTTGGAAGCATATATGGTAGGCGTAGCTCAGAAAATAATGGTGAGATCCAGTTCCAACTAGTCAAAGCATCAGTCATTGCCAAAGCTGAAGATACATTTACAGACTTTAGTGCCCACAAGGTCATAACAAAAACTTGTAAAAATACAATCCAATAAAGACGAATTCTTGTACAAAAAGCATGCGCAGAAAGAAATTCTAGACTGATTTGATTAATTCGTCTTATATAGAAGAGAGTCTTGACTCTTGAGTAAACAACTGATCTAATTCACTTCCGTTGTGGATTCAGGTCTTGGCGGCTGGTCTAACCAGCCCCATTCCAGTACCACTCCCCAAGTGCTTAAAATCTGTTGCTTCCAAATGATCCCCATGGGCAGCAAACCCGGTCCCTCCTTTTTCCAAGCATACTAAATTCTTCTCTTTACATCCTTTGTCGCATACCAAACAGACCTTGTCAACAGCCATAAATCTGTCAGCACACTTCTTGCAGAAGACATGTCCACAGGTGTTCAGGGCCACGAGAGTCAATGTGTTGGTCAGAGTGACCTTGCAGCTAGGGCATATATAGCTGCTATTCAGAGATTTGGACTTCTCGTTGTTCTCTTCTGTGAAGTAAATGGGGAAAAGGGCCTTCAGTTTGAGTTTCTCTTTGCCTTCCGGACACACTGTACTGGTTGAGGGGGCCTCCACTTTAACAGAAGCTTCCGGTGTTGCAGAGGGAAGCCAAAATGCTTTCATGGTGCGAAGGGCTTCCTCTTCATATGATGTGACCTTAACACTGTTGGCCCCATGGAAGCCATTCTTGTCTCTAGCGTAGCTCCTGTCATTATATTGAGGTACTGCACCATGGTTTTGTTGATCAAAGGCATCAAGCTCTTTGGCCTTCTGCAGCAGTAACTTCTCTTGTTCCTCCTCTTTCTCCTGCTTCTGTTGAGCAGCATGGGCAGCTAGCTTTCTGCCACATAAGGCAATAGATAACCCTTAAGTAATTGTAATAAGAAATTCAAACCAGGTACATGTTGAGGAAAAATTTGAAACAACTATCATCCTTGGAAATGAACGTAAACATGAAATACATAATAGATAATTGATAAAAAAAAAAATACATAATAGATAATGCTTAAGCATTTGCTTTAAACTTAATTTAATCCTTGAGGGAAAAATAAAATGAGATAATTATTGTCCTTAAAAATGAACAGACAGGACTGAATTTTACCATCTATATGCAAAAATACTTTTGGTTGACTCAGAAGATTAAAGAAACAAGTGCTTAACATGAATCAACAGGAATATTTTCAATTTGTCAATTTCCAGAAGTATAATCATATCCTCGCCTTCCTCCCCTGTGGTACAAGAGTGTTGGGTACCACCGCCTTAGTTCAAGGTGAAGCTAAACTTTGATGGAAGCTCCTTGGGTAATCCAAGTCAGTCGGGAGTTGGGGGTGTGTACAGAAACGAGGAAGGAAAAGTCTTTGGCCCTTTACTTGGGCCTAATTGGGGTGGGAGATTCATTAAGGGCAGAAGTAATGGCCTTACTTCAAGGTTTGAAACTGGTGAAACAATGGGGCATGCAGCAATTAGAAGTGGAAGGAAACTCCAAGCTGGTAATAGGGTGGATGCAAACTGGAAACCTGGGAGTGTGGTTTCTTAGACAGCCTCTAAGAGAGATTATTAGCTTAGCAAGGGAGATTGGGGTGCACTTTAATTGGGTAAGGTCAGCAAATGGAATGGCTGACACTTTACCTAAGCAAGGAGTTACTAGGGAGGCTTTGTTTTGGGCCTGTTTGGAAGTTTTTGATTTTCTTTTCCATCCATTTTGTGGGTGGTAAGCTTGTAATCTTTTCAATTATTTTATGAAAGTTAACGTTTCCTATAAAAAAATCATATTATTCGTCTGATGAATGTAGTTCTAAAGGTGCCTTCAAAATGTGGAAGTAAGCAACTAGTTCAATATCCATAGGAAGACAAAACCAAACAGGAGACTACACACACACACATAAAAAAAAAAAAACCATTTCTCTAGCAGCCAAATCAGCTGTTTAACTTCTATCATAACTTGCTCAATTTATTTGGGCTATTCCAGGAGCTATCCTTTTATCATTTATTTTGCATCCAAATACAATGCCAGGGACATGACCATGGTATGCTACAGACCATAGCATGCCAATTATCTATTACCTCTATATAAAGGGAGAGTTTCACCCCCCCCTTAAAGATTTTCTCAAGTTCTCAATACTAGTTATGCAGTTATACTTTTTGCAATTTTCCCCCATTCCAGTTTTGTCCAATTTCAATTCCATCTCTCCTTCCTCACCATGTAACAGATGTGCCACCCAACTAGTACACTTAACAATAACATGTCCCAAACAAATAAAGCATCTATTTTAAAATACCTAAATAATTTTACTTGCAGAGATCTCATCATGATTATGACCATATTATCATTTACTAAGAATATGTTTCAGTTTAAATTTCATGATTTCATCAAAGATGAGATCCAGAATTCTTCCCAAGTAGTAATGCATTTCTTGTTTTCTTGACTAGTTAGTCAATTATTTTCATGCAAAAAATCCAAGTACCCTTGCAGCTTCAATACACAGGTTACCTCATGCATTAATCTCAGCATTGAGCAAGGAAAGTTCAATCGTACTTTTATTCAATATCCAGAAAACATCAAAATCTTCAAACCAATTCTCCACAAATTGAGACAACAACTTCTCCTTTTTCATAATAAAATGAAAGTTACATCAATGAAAAAGAAGATTCAAGGATAGACAAGACCACCAACCATTCTAAATCAAAATAAACAATACTCCAGGAAACCTATCTCCTAAAAGTCTAAAACTTCCTCAAAACCACCACAGAGAGAGACTACCCCCCTCCCCCAAATTAAAAAGAGGAATACCCATCAACAAAATCCCTTCACTCACAACACCAATAACAAATGCTACACTTATACATCATGTTCCAAATAGAAAAGGCTAAGCCGCTAAGGAAACCAAACGACCACTAAGAACAATTATAGCAACTTTAGCATGAACCTCCATCAGTCATCTTTCCTAATAAACAAAGCATTTTTCCATTTTCGTGTCTTGTTCCAAAGACAGTGGCTTCTCCCCTCAAACAAAATCTCCACCTAAAAAGAAAATTCCCAGTTTCTTACCCACCTCAGCACCACTTGAAGTAAAAAGCCTCCCAATCATCAGAGGTAACCTTAGTGCAAGAAAACATAAATTCGAAGACAAAACATTAATTTTACAAATAATTGTTGATCCATTATCTCATTTCACCATGAATGCACAATAATCTATGGCAGGTAAAACCTCGATTCTAGAACAGGTGTATGCTTTTCTAGTGAATGTGCACCAAACATTAGCATTGTAAAGAAATGGCAATGTCAACAGATAATATGAAGAAATGGCAGTGTAAATGGCTCCAAGTGTTTGATGTGGAGATGAGCAAATACTTTTGCACCATATTCAAAATTAATCCCAACCTGATAATGAGCGTATTTACCAAAAAAAGTTTATATCCAAATCCAGCAATACCTAATCACTTCGTATCATTATGTGCTAATCTTCAAGTTTTACCATAAACCAGAGTTATAAAATTCTAAAGGGTGATATTAGATGTTTCACTTGCTAAAGCACCGGGCTTAAGCCTCATAAGCATGCAAATTTTCTAATGAGGCATTCGCTTTCTAATAATAATTGAACCGATAAATATAAAACAATGATAATCACATTTTGTATGCCCTGATGAGCATTCCTGTGCTTTGTAGAATTAATGAGGAATCATGGCAATTCATAGTGGGAAAACCCAATAACTTTTTTTTTTTATTTAATTATTGTCCACTATGGAAACGTCAAACTCATAGAATATCTACTTTCAAACTAGTACAGCAGGCAATACAAGACGAATGAATCAAGAAGAAAAATGATTTCTTAAACTAAAGCAAATTGGTGCATATACTGCAGGAATAAAGGAGAGTAAGATCGTTTGAAAACTAGCGAAACAAAGATGGAAAAGGAAAATTAATGAAATCTCTAAGAAAGAACAAAAATCAACCTTTGAATGTCCTTCTTTTGAGCCAGCAAGCACTCAAAGATGCATTCCTTGCAAAAGACGTGACCTTTCTGGCAACAAAGAGGATCAATGAAAGGCTTCAAACAGAGACAACAGGCGTCGAAGGGCTTTATGGAATCCTTGCCGAGCCTCTCCTTCTGTGTTCCATATCCGAGCTTCCGCTTCTCATCGTACGTAAAGAAAGCAAGATCGTTATTGTTCTTTGAATGTCGTTGCGGCATCTCTCAAAACCCTAATTGATTCAAAAGCAATAAAAGTTCCTGAGAAGAATATGAAAGATATCAAAAAAGAGAAGGAAGGAAAAGGACTGTCATACAAAAGAATAACTGAAACGGTCTTGGGACTGCTGGATTAAAATTGGAATGAATTCAGAATTCTTGTTGCCCTCTGAATCATTCGGAGAAGACATTACCTGAATTTGGGAGATATCCTGCTAAACCTAAAACTAGTTGGACTTTGAGGAGTTCTTTTATGAGGTAGGGCCGTAGGGGTTCTAGGGGAATTCTCGAATAACGGAACTATTTGCGCGTTAAGTCGACTCGCTGAAGCGACAAGGCAGTGGCACAGGCGAATGCTAGACACGCTAATACTATCAATGGGCCGGACACGTTTAATTTAAAAGACCGAACCAACCTACCACAAGTGCCCGGTTTGCTTTACGCAGCGAGACTGGATCTGCTCGTCACAGATGGCGCCTCACACCGACCTCATAGGCATATGTCAATGCATTCAGAATATCTTCCGTACTTATGTATTATTATTTACAGGAGCACATCCCAATTCTTACACAAGCAGCTTCAGGCGTTGCAAGTTGCAACCGATGTTTAAAACATCGACCTAGAATTGGAATCTCTTAGGCCACTGGTTTCTGGGTCATCGGTTTGACCATTCGATTTGAATGAATAGACCGTTCCAATTTAAAAAATAATTAAAATAAAAATGATAAAAAATTGTTGTCTAGGTCGAATGATTTGACAGTTCAATTGCCAGTTTGCCAAGGTTAGCGGGTCATTGACCAAGTCAATGGTTTTTAGCCAAGGAATAGGTTAAGGGTAAAACAAAACTAGTTATTTGATTGGTTCTTGGGCCCAATGGTTCGACTGTTTGGGTCAACCAACTCAACAATAGTTTGAAAACACTAGTTACAACTTGCAAGATAATTTAGGTAAATTACAAAGACCACATAATGACAATTATCCCCTAAACTCTCCCTCTCTCTCTTGCAACAAAGACCTCCTAAAGTTTCACTTTGTGACAAATACTCTCTTTGGTCCTCTATTAGAGTTCCATTAATTAACTTGAAAAAGATTCTCCTTCAATTGTTTTCATTTTTTTTTAAATCCCCAAACTACTATTTTCCTATTTATTTGAATGATTTATGATTCGATTAGTTTTCTCCTCGTGGTTGTTCCAATAGATCCTTCAAATTTCTGACTGAATTCAATATTTTAATGAAATACTAGAGGTTTTCTTTAATATATATATATATATATATATATATATATATGTGTGTATGTATGTATGTATGTATATAAATTTAATGTTTTGTTTGGTTTTGATTGATTTATTGGACAAAGGAGTGGATAAAGTGGATAATTTTTATACTTTAAGATGAAGAGAGACATTCATGTCAATGAAACAAGAGAAGAATTTAAAGAAACTTGTATTCCATGTCAGTGAAATGAGATAAGAATTTAAAGAAACTTGTATTTCACTAGTAAAAGTGCATGTGTGTTGCACATAGTAATATCAAATGATGATGATGATAATAGTCAACAACCAAATGACCTTAGAGGTTGAATCATTGACCTATTTAATGAGGAAAATGGACTATGATTAAGACATTAATTCATTTTTTTCTTTGTATTTTAGCCATTTCTATCTTTACTAATAATAATTCTTATTTTTCGAACAGATTTTTGTTTAATATGAAGAATATATAATATTAGTGCATATTCATTTTTTTTATAAAATTTATAAAAAATTTTATATTTTTATTTTTTATAATTTAATTTATGAGATAATAAAAATTACTTATTTACCAAGAGGAAATGCAATTCCAATATACTGTTTGAATATTGGTTTTTAATATTATGGTAAAATCAATTATATATATATATATTTGTTTGTATTTTTTAAACTTCTTATATGATGAAAATAGTTGAAAAAATACTTATATTTTTTGTTTTTCTTTATTTCAACTATTATATTTTCTTTTCCTTTTAATAATTTATGATTTTTTAAATTAAATCAGATTGTATTAGATTTGGATATCCAACATCTTGATCAGATTTAGATTCAAATCAATATTTATGAGATCCGATAAGATCTTCGGATTGAATCAAATTTAATCCTTAATAAACCACTAGCCTACAACGACCTAGCTAATTAAATCATTGAACCATTTGACATGGTTAGTGGGGTCATGTGTTAGACATTAATGCTTCTTATTTTTTATCCTAATTTTTATCCCATTTTTATCAATAATGAAAATAATTCTCATTAATCAATTTTTTTATATGATGAATATATAATATTATAGAATGTACCCAAAATTATTTATAAATTTATAAATTTTCTAGAATTTTATGTATTTTATTATTTAATAATAACATCATGTGTTGATCCATTTGACAAGGATAGTTGAACCACTAATCCACCACTTGGATGGAAAACCAATTTTCTTTTTTGGTTGATTTAAATCATGTATTACATTTTCATCATTAATAAAAGTAATTATTATTTTCGCATTTATTTTTGTGCGTGGTAGTATCAAATGATGATGATGATAATAATCAACAACCAAATGTCCTTATTGGTTGAATCGCTAACCTATTTAAGTAGGAAAATTGACTATGATTAAGACATTAATTCATTTTTTTATTTGTATTTTAGCCATTTCTATATTTACTAACAACAATTTTTATTTTTTCAAATATATTTTTGTTTAATATGAAGAATATATACTATTAATGTATGTTCAATTTTTTTATAAAATTTATAAAAATTATATATTTTTATTTTTTATTATTTAATTTATGAGATAATAAAAATTACTTATTTACTAAGAGTAAATGCAATTCCAACATATTGTTTGAACTTTGGTTTTTTATATTGTGGTCAAATCAATTATATATATATGTATATATATATATATAGTATTTATATATAATATATATGTTATTTATTATTTATTTATAAATATGTTATTTATATTGCAGTTTTGTAAACTTTTTATATGATGTAAATAGTTGAAAAAATACTTATATTTTTTGTTTTTTATTTCAACTATTATATTTTTTTCTTCTAATAATTTATTATTTAAAAAATTAAACTAGATCGTATTAGATTCGTATATCTGACATCTTGATTGGATTCAGATTCAAATCAATGTTTATGAGATTCGATCGAATCTTTGAATCATATCAGATTTGAATATACCCTGATTCAAATCTGATATGATTTGTTTGCATCCCTACCAAATCACTTGCCTACGATGACCTAGCTAATTAAATTATTGAACCATTTGACATGGTTAGTCGGGTCATAGGTTAGACATTAATTCTCTTTATTTTTTATTCTAACTTTTATCCATTTCTATCATTAATGAAAATAATTCTCATTAATCACACTTTTTTATATGATGAATATACAATATTATAGATTGTACCCAAAATTATCGACAAATTTCTACATTTTCTTGAACCTTATGTATTTTATTATTTAATAATAACATCATGTGTTAATCCATTTGATATATATATATATATATATATTTAATATTCGTTACTTAGTTATGACATCATAGATTGATCCATTTGACCCGGAATGTTAGATCATTGACCTACCTACCATCTAGATATGGAAATGGTTTCATTTTCAAATTGGTTTTAAATTTTGCATTTTATTTATATCATTGATAAAATACTTATTATTTATCATACTTATTTTCTTATATTATTAGTATATAATATTATAGATGTGCCCTAAATTGTTTTTAAAAAAATTATTTTTAATTATACGTCATGGTTAACCTATTTGACTTGAAAGGTTGAACCACTTACCAACCCCCTAGATAGGAAGATGGTTTAATTTCCCATCGGTTTTAAGTTGTATATTTGATGTCCATCATTAATAAAATTAAGTCTATTTTATCATAGTTATTTTTTAATATGAAAAATATATAATAATAGAAATGTGTCCAACTTTTTTCAAAATTTCTTTTTTTCCTATATTTTTTGTATTTTTTATATTTCTAAATTTATACTATTTATTTATGACATCATAAATATCATTGATAAAATAATTATTGCTTATCATACTTATTTTTATTTATATTATTAGTGTATAATATTATAGATGTGCACAAAAGTGTTTCATGTTTTTTTTTGTATTATTCTATTTTAAAAAATTTGTTTTTAATTACACATCATGGATTAACCTATTTGACCTAAAAGGTTGAACCACTAACCTACCCCCTAGATAGGGAAGATGGTTTAATTTCCCATCGGTTTTAAGTTGTATATTTGATGTCCATCAGTAATATAATTATGTCTATTTTATCATATCATACTTATTTTTTAATATGACAAATATATAATAATAGGAACATGCCCAATTTTTTTTAATTTTTTTCTATATTTTTGTATTTTTATATTTCTAGCTTTGTATTATTTATTTATGACATCATGAAATTATCCATTTGACCCAAATGGTTGAAGTACTTACCCACGACCTAGATGGAAAATATGATTTCATTTTTAGGTTTATTTTAAAAATATAAAATTTCATTCTATTAATAATTATTATGTATGGATTTATTAGTGGAATTTAATAATGATAAACAAAACTATTTTTTTTATATTTCTAAATTTATATTATTTATTTATGACATCATGAAATTATCCATTTGACCCAAATGGTTGAACTACTTACCCACCACATAGATGAAAAATATGATTTCATTTCTATATTTATTTTAAAAATATAAAATTTTATTCTATTAATAATTATTGTGTATGGATTTTTTAGTGGAATTTAATGATGATAAACAAAAGTATAAATGTTGGATTCGATGAGAGAGAATGTGATTTATTTAATGACTGAAATGTGAGACTTAATGAGAGGTAATTGAATGTACTTTGGTATTCTTATATGATTTCATTTCTATAATTATTGTGTACGGATTTATTAGTGGAATTTAATGATGATAAACAAAAGTATAAATGTTGGATTCAATGAGAGAGAATGTGATTTATTTAATGGCTTAAATGTGAGACTTAATGAGAGGTAATTGAATGTACTTAATGGTATTCTTTTAATTACATTTTCTGCCCTTTCAATGGAGATGAATTAAATTCAAGAGGAGGGGTATTTTAGTAAAGAAAAACTCCAGAAGACAATACCTCCTCATTCACACTTTTATAAATAGTATAGATGTTAGTAAATGGTTCTTATTATTTTAACTAATTTTGCTTGGAGAAAATGGAGGTATTTTTAGGTCAAT